TGTTTTGGACTGAAGAGTCCAGTTTTGAGCTCCATGGTCCAGTGCTCTGTTAGTACTGCCAACCGGATGCTAAAATGTCTGGTTGAGTTTTGAGAATCAGCCAGATACTTCACTATTCTTGGTTAACCAACTGCATCATTATAATCGTGAATATTTCTGTCAATAGGGAGATCAATATCAACAGTTTGAAGTGTTCAAGATGAGAATGTTTCTCATATTAATATAATAATAATTTAATGATGCATTCCTAGTGTAACACATCCTTAATGCTAATAATAGTATAAAACATTTATCATATTATGGGTCAGGTAGTATGAGCGGTGCATCCCCCCTAAGTGGAGATGAAACCTTCACCACTGTGTCACTCACATTTACCATGTCAGAACTTCTTGTTGTAAATTGTTGTTTATGTAAATGTACTGGCTGTTACAACACATTTATACCGCATGGACTGCTAACACAACTTATAAACAGACCACAGAAACCACAGAGCTGCTTTGTGCCACTAATGTATTCATGCAGTTGATTAGTGGTCCTTTGATGCTGTCGGGATGCACTGGAGCGCTTCAGTATCCACACATCAAACGTTATGTGGTCATACGTGTGCCTGACCACGTCCAAAGGTGCTTTGAGTGAATGGATTACAATGCATCTATAAGACACATTGTACTTAGGGTTGTCCTCTTTTAATCAGATCACAAGATTCATGTTATTGATGGGTGTGAACAGAGTAAAGGAGTAAATTTAGCTGCACTGATTTCAGAATGTCAGAACCGATTATGATAAAATTCAATCAAGTGTGCATTGTTTTCTCTCAAACTGTAAACAAAACATAACAAAACAAAAAAGCTTCCTGTCTCATTTGTGTGTGCAGAGTTTTTTGTAATTAATTCCACCAAATTGTGGTCAAAATTCATGAGGATATTTCCCTATTGCTGATGCCAGACATGCCAGTTTTGTACATTTTAAATACATGTCAAATACATTGCCATTCATGCCAAAATACATTCCAAACACTGAAATGAATTTTAGATTATATTGCTGTATTAACCAAATATATTTTAAAATACATTTCTTTTAAAATGTAAGGGGAAATATTACATATAGAAATGTACCATACAAAAATAAATGTATGTAAATGTAATTATCAAATATATTTGAAAATGTATGAAAAAAGCCAAAATATATGTCTAATGTAGTTTACTCTTTGGAATATCTTTTGAAATGAGTTTGTATTTCAGTATCTTCATTTTAAATATTAGCCACTGAGCCTTTAATGTGGCAAAAGCAAGTGTTGTATATATTGATACACTAAAAATGCCGTTCAATGATTTGATTTCTTGTTTATTTGAAACACATTTATACATACATCTTACTGCATACAATCAATGGTTAATGCAAAGTACAATGCAAAACACAGAAGTCAGTATGATTTAGCTATATCTGTAAACTTTGTTGAAAGTACTTACCATCGCAACAATACAATACTAAATATAAATAAATGCATTTAAAAAATATATTTAATAAATAATTTTTGGCCATTTTTATATATTGCAAAAATATACTTGGTAAATACATTTTTCCATATGGGCTCCTAGTCCTTCAAATAGTTTCAACATGTTATGTGCAGTCTGATAACCTGAACACACAAAGATGTGAAAAGCCATTCTGATTATATGTTAAAACCCTGCAGTTCATTAGATTCCGATCTCAGTTTGGTCTCCCATTTTAATGGCCTTTGTAATTGCCATCATTTTTTACAGCCTGCTCGTCTCCTAACCTCTGTTGTTTGGGTTCATAGTGGTGCAATGACACAGTGAGAAGAGATCAGATGATAAAGAATTAGATTAGTGGAACACAATGATGAGAACAAACATCAGCAACTCTAATTTGATTCATTCCAACCAAAGTAGGCCTACAGTGGCCCTGAAAAGTATTTGGAAGCTTTAACCACTGATAATATATTAGAGTTCTTAGGGTTACTTCATAAAATGTTTAACTGCTGGTAGACTCTGTGTGGAGAAATTAAAGCTGAAGGATTCCACCAGACTGCACTAAGGCTAGTGTAAAGCACAGAAATGTCAAAGTTTGGAACAGTTTTTCCTACAATGATGTTGGCGAGCTTGTGTTCAATAAAGGGATCATGAACTCAGAAGCACTTCCATGTCTGTGCATATCTTTTCAATAAGGATTAGAGATAAGTATAAGATTTTTCCCCTGAACTATTGCATCACAGAAAAATCAGTAGAGTGTTGTCCAGGCTCTTGTCATTATAAGTGCATGAATTATGAACAGGGATTCAGAGGGACCTGGTTCACATGATGAACATATGTCATGAAACATTCACACAGCAGACGCCAAGGTTTTATTACAGGCTGTGCATTGTTTGAGTGCAGTCCTTAAAGCAAATTAATTCATAATGTGGTTACATAAACTTGTTTCACGGCAGATTGCATGGCTTACTCATTCTAACACATTTACATATCAGCACTCTTGCAAATGAACTCATCAAGCATTATGGAGCGCCAGCCTCAAGTGAACCATTCTCAACATGCGCAATAAACAGAGTAATGCAATACTACAAGTTTGTCCAGACCTTTTGCCCAGAAAAGGACTGGATTTTACAGATGCTGATCTTCTAGATTAAACATAGCAGTTTCGGGAAAAATCAGAGGGGGTTTCCAACTGGCCATCTTTCAGTCTTTTTGTAGTAAATCACATTGTAGGTTTCGCATTACAGGTTTGTATTCTTTTACACCGATGCAGTACATAGATCATGGGTCTTATATATAAATATAAATATATATATATATATATATATATATATATATATATATATACAGGTGAAACCCCCTCCTCACCATGCTCAAGCAACCTCATTTGAGTTGAACCAGTCACCATGGGAAGAGTGGAGGCAGTAGATATCATCAACACACTGAGCTGTGAACTATCACGATGATTAGCACTTCACCCACACACACAGAAAAATTACATCAATTTTTTTCAGTACTAAGCATGCGCACCAAGGATCACTGTCTGGGTATGTGATAAGATCATACTGGATTAACGGAATTATATATCTATATATGTGCAAAAGTCAGAGGCCCCCGTTCATGAATAATATCCAGTGACCATAACTATTAAGGATTTCTTTTTCAGGAGATATTTCTGAGGAGACTAGATACCATATATATACCTTAACATTTTTATTTTTTTGTATAGAACCATCTACAGCAGGGGTGTCCAATCCTGGTCCTTAAGATCTATCACCCTGGAGAGATCAAATCCAGCTCACCTGGCTCTAAAGTTCAGATGCCCCTAAAGACCGTCATTATCTGGTTCAGGTGTGCTAAATTAAGGTTGGAGCCAAACTCTGCAGGGTGGCAGATCTCCAGAACCAGAATTCGGCACCCTTTATATACATTCTCCATGAATCTGAAGAACCATTTCACCATGCAAAGAGCCATTTAATCATGCAAATGGTTCTTTGAGTGTTCATGGTTCTATAGAGAACTATTTTCTTTACTGAAGAACCCTTGAAGAACCAACAGAGCATCCTTTAAAGGAATAAGGCTTGCAAATGTGAGCGGTGTATTTGCCTGTCTGTCCCTCACACCAGCTTGGTATTGATCTAAATGTCCTGTGGGTGCTAAGTCAAGGGACACTGCAGTGGCCATTCTGTTGACTGGCTGTGTTCAGCATACTGATGTCAGTGAGTGCACTGGAAATTGTACTGACCAACTCAGCAGGGTACACATGCAAAACACATGCAAGCAGTCCTGCGGTCATGTATTCCCCTATAAACAGTGGCTGCTAAACCTGGGCCTGAAGTGTGCAGGCAAGACCATTACACAATGCATCAGATACAGAACATCAGAGCAAAGCAGAACTTACTGTGTGTAGAAAATTGCAGCAAAGTCATATGAAAACTTGCTAACAGAGAGAGTGAATGTCAGACATTTGGGTGAGTTCAGGGATTATTATAGTTTGTTTATGTGCCACAGGCTTGGCAGGAAGTGCAGGAATGCATCCCATCTAATTTGGGCTGTTACTGTTTAAGGAGAGATTGTGAGCCATTTGTCTTTTTAAGTGTATTAAAAGATCCATGAGAATTTCAGTTGAAAGGCAAAGGATTGGCAAAGCCAACTTTCAATAAAGTAAATGGCCCAGAAACACAACTCGGACCAAAGGCTCGTTCATGTTATTGGTTCTCCAGATCACAAACGAAGTGGACAAGGTACAGAGTCCTGACAGAAACTGCTGTAACCTCCTGCATGTTGCACTATAAAGGAAGGAAATGTAATCATGCAATTTCTGCTCATAACAGGAGGGTAATGTCATTACTGTTGCAACAAAACCTTTTATTTCTAAAATTACACTTTACAGCAGAAGCAAGAAATGCCTCATGTTAATGTAAACACATTTTCCATTTCACACATAAAGGACAGCTGACCTTTTCAAACAGTGAAAAAAAAAAATAAGGCTCTTACATGACGTGATAAAATGGAGTAAAGACCTTACAACATTTCTCTTTCATCACCAAAACTACTAATGTAGGTCTTCCCAGAAAGGCAATCTTGCCCTAGTTCTCTAGTCCCTCTAGAGCACCCTGGCGTCAAGACCAATCGATTCAAGGACACATCTTTAATAACATCCGTTAGGAGGTATTCAGTGGCTTAATGACACTGCTGCTGCAGACAGGGGTCAACGCTGGGCTTGTGATTTCAAAAACATTACAAAGAAAAGAAAATTTGGAATTAAATCTCTGTGATTCTGTAAATGTGGATTCACATAAAACAATTCAACAGCAAATATTTCATCAAAGGATATTCAGCTGTCTTAAAATTGATACCTGTGGGTGACCACCATTTTTCACTATAGCTTGTTTTACCATTTTGAAAGGCCCCCTTGAGACAGATGCTAGTGAGATTTGACCATAACACCCAAGCACCCTATAGAGCTATAACATCATAACCATTATTAAAGGAATACAGCCATGCTTTTCATCTCAAATGCCTTTAATTCCATGGGTTAACAAAATATAAACTACAATACAAATTCACCATAAAAATAAAATAACTCTGCTGCTGTGCATGCAAACAGCAGAAATACAACTTTAATCATTTTATTTTTAACAAATGAACAAACACAATAGGACACCAAGACACACTGGAAATTAATGGAAAGACTGGTTTGCATAGATAAAACAAAAGGAAAACATCTGATGAACAGTGGTGAAACTAAAGAAGTTTCTGTAATGCCTTTCCACTGCCGACACCAAAAAGCTTTTAGTCATCAAATAGACCTCAGACCTCTGTAAATACAATTAATATTAAACCACTTGGAAGTGGAAGGTGTCTGTTTATTCACTCTACTTTGAACCTATATTGTTGTTAAAAGTACTCTTAGCTTCTAAATTTTGCTCAGCGTGAGAATAATGTATGGGGATCTATATTAAATCATGGTGGTTTAATCATCTCGTGGTCCATCATTAAAATAATCCTAACCAAATACAAACAACATAGCTTGACATGACTCACACTACACATTATGCTATAGGGCAATATCTGACAGTCAGCCCTTACAGCCCAATGTTCCTCATACAACTGCCTACACTCTTAAAAATAAAGGTTCTTAAATAGTTCTTGGCCTGGCTGTAGAAAAACTTATCTGGAGGTCCTTTAAACTTTAAAGAAGTTCTTTACATCTGCACATCTCATTTAATTCACTGAAAGGTTCTTTGGGGAATCAAAAGTTGTTCTTCTATGGCATCTCCTTAAAGAACCTTAAATTTAAGAGTGTGGACAGAGAAGCCTGGAACCAGTTCTTGAACACGACTCCACACCCTTTGGTTCCACTGTGAAAGTGAACTGGACAAACCACTGTGGACAGAACTTTTCAGTGAACTGTCAACTGCAAGCCTTCACAGCACCATAAAACACTGTATAATCCAACAGTTAATATAGTGCATTTAAAACTATTTAAATATCTAGTCCATAAATCCTCTGTCAATTTTATAGCCTATTCATGTAAAAAATATGCTCAGTGAGAGACAAACATGACACAGGAAACATAAATGATCTTGGGAGTTCATTTTCAGAAAACACAAGCATACAATGGGGGGATTCTTCTGTGCTAGTGACCACCATCTTTTTGGGTCAAGTTGCTCAGTCCAAAAACAAACCATTCCACACAAACAGTTTTACAATCATTAGCTTTCTTTATAGAAATCAAACCAAAAACCTCTGTAAGTACTGAATCCCCTGAAGCATGTCTTCACTTCCTCTACTCACATGATTTCATTCAGACTCAACAACACATTCCATTCCATTCTTTAAAGAGCAGCACAAAATTTTAACTATTTTAGTAGCATTTCAAGCATTTAGGGGTTATTGCACATCTCACATAAGGACATATTGCTGTTTATTTGTGTCAGGTCATTGGAAAATGGGCATTGTTTTACTGAAGAAAAATGCCAAGTGATGTCTGTCTCCCTCTCATGACTTTCTCCTAATTCCTTTTAGTTATTTAAAGTACAGTAGATCATTGCAGGGAGGTCTTTTACACTATGACACAATGGAACAGAATCCACAAGCACACTGCCATCCGCTTACACAATCAAATAATAATAATAATAGTACTCTGTGCAAAAATTATCATAACATCTATTCAGTAATAGAGGTAAAGCCATTTGACTAAAACCTAGACATTGTCTTGCAGACCAGAACAACTGTAAAAACCACATAGATTAGAACTCTAATATACAGTGTATGTGATGATGCTGATGAAAGAAACAAAAACTTCCCAAAATGCCACTATTTAATGCCTCTCTGATGAAATCTAAGTCCATTTTGGGTTGGACAACAAACAGATTTCATCTCAAACAGCAAACTGTGTTCAGCGGACTGTAAATACACAGGTTAAGGCAAACTCTATCAATCAAAAATCGTACACACAAAGTATACTCGTGCCTTTCTAATAGGTAGACCTATTAGATCTTTGTGCCTGTTAAGTTTGAAATTTTGCCCCGAGCCTCTGTCTGCATTCTAACAACACCTATTTGACCATAACCACCAAAAGTTCCTTCCATCCACTCAAAAATGAAAGCTGCATTTACAAAAAATGTACAAAACAAAGAAGATACAGTGGCCCTTGCAGAACACGTGGAGCTGCAAAAGTTCCTCTTCCATCTCTTTAATGACAGGACAATATAATTTGCAAGCAATTATAAAAATAAATAATAACAACAAATACAATCTCGCCTCCTTGTCTTACTGCAATAATTGCTATTCTACGTCACCACACAATCAGGTCTCATTTGCTCTAACTGTGAGCTGATAGGGTCTCTATTGGTAATGAGTAGTAATGATGTGCGTACTGTGATCTCCCATAATTGCTAAGCAAGACCTCTTTGCCAAGGCATCTATCATATATAATGTGTGGAAAGCAACACTGCTCAATTAGCACTAATGCTACAGCATTAACACTTAAGACGACACACAATGCAACAGGTATTTACAAAGACTAAAACATATCACTGCTGAGTGATGCTCCACAGGCAAACATGCCACACAAAGACAGTAGTCATCCTTGAAAAGCAGGAGAAAATAAATAAGATTAATAATATTTTCCTTTTGGTTTTATCGCATAAAAATAAAGTTAGCTTTTTTTGTTTTAAATATTGAACCTGAATAAACAGGAACTACACCTGAATGCTGCTGGAAGGGTGAAAGGTTCTCACAGTATAAATGTGTTTAGTCTGAGGTATGCAACCGGTACAAATCTAGGAAATCAGAGAGGGGTCTCAAGTTTGAATGTAATTGACTGTGTGCACAAGGCATTGCTACTTCCTTCTCATCATCCCATTTCTGACTTCACACATTATTGGTCAACTATCATAAAAAAAATTCATTTTGACCACAGGCTGTGAACTCAAACTCACAAACTCACAAACAAAAGCCCTCTATTTATTTCTCAATGATTGGCAGGCTACAGAATGCAGCAGGCCTACTGCATATATCCCCAAACCTTTACCTTTATCCTAACTGCTCATGACCAAAACACATACAATATATGTCCAAAAGTATCCAGAAACCCCTTCTAATTAATGAATAAGCTATTGTAAGAACCAATTTTTAGCATAGGCCTTCAATAGGATGAAGCGCCGAGCAGCTGCATATGAGCCTAAGGTCACTGATGCCCAATGCTAAGCGTCCCCAGCATTAGGTTGTGGAGCAGTGAAACTGCATTCTATGGAGTGATGAAGCTCTCTATAGTGATGAAACACCATCAGCTCCACCTTTGGGATGAGTTGGAGTGGCGACTGAATCATCCAACATCATCACCTGACCTATTGAGTCTCAATGCAATCAAATTCTCACAATGTTACAACATGTAATGTAATGTCTGACCAGAGGAGTTGGGGGAGAGGGAAAATTATCTATTAAAAAGTAAGAAACGTTGGATGAGCAGGTGTCTACAAACTTTTGGACATATAGTGTAGCTTGGGAGATCCTGAACAACTCTAAAGTGCATATACCTAAACAATCAGAACCAGAATGCTTTCAAATGCACCATGAAGTTGGCACATTGTGCACTGGTCAACATATGGTCAAAGTTTAAGAGACAGCAGCAAAGAAAGGAGACGAATTTGAAAACCTCGCCTTGTGATAGCAACATCTGGAAGGGTCTGGAAGAGTGAAGGTGTAAGTCGTGGAGGTCAGATAAACCAGCTGCCACACTCTTCTCCTGTGAGTCGTGTATAAATGACTAGCCCTCTCTAGAAAGCGTGGGTTTCTTATACTTGGCTTGAGAGTAGCCTATATTATTATTATTACAAGCGTATACGTATATAGGTATTTTTCTCTATAGCATCTAAAGCTTAAGTCATGCGTAAAAGGGACAGCTTCTCTGCACTTTGCTCATGGCCTGTGTTTCCATGTTACATAAGAGAACAACTGCGCTGTGAAACCTAAAAAGACACACTCATTGCCAGCCCTCCTCACCGCCATTTCACATTTCAACACCACCACACCAAACACACGCCAGAAACATCCAACAGAATTACCCTAAAGCAAGCCTAGGATCTCCTACACGGCCTCTACAACGCTTTAAGACGGAATGGCAGCCCGTTACACAGTTTAAGAGCCAGTCAGTGCGGTGAACTCGCATATGAACATCACCAGACAAGTGCATAATTCTGAATGAATTAACGTACACAGACACACACACGTTAGCGCGCTAGCTAAATGAAGTGGATCCAACCATTCTCCCACTCGCGGGGAGGGGAGATTTTGAACCTGTGGCGCCTCACTTTGTAATTATCCCCGCCGTTGTTGTCCCAAAACTCGTGGCCGTCCACGAGGTACTTGATGGCGAACTGCAGAGTGCCGCCTGCCTCCAGAAAAGTCGGGGTGACGATCTTGAAGGAGAACTTGTCCGTGAGCCCGTCGTTCGAGTGCGGCACGTAGGAGGCCGGCGCGTCCACGAAAGTGGACCAGTTGTTGAGCGTGTACCTCAGCCCCACGCTCTTCTCGAAGGCCATGTTGAGCACCCTCACCAGCCCGGAGAGGCAGAACTCGTCGGCGTCCACACGTTCCAGCGACACCTTGAGCTCCTTCACCCGCTCGATGAAGTCCGCCGACGCGCCCGGGTTGGTGAACAGCAGCTCCATGAAGACGGACTGCGCCGAGCCGCTCGACGCCTCGAAGTTGTTCAGGTGCAGCGCCCTGGCCTTCCTGAACTTGTCCATCACGCGCTCGGGTATCTCAGGCACGTCGGCGTCGTCGAAGTGCTTGACGGAGATGAGCTCCAGGCCGAGCGAGTCGGCGAACCTCACCTTCTTTTGGCTGTTGGGGCTCCGGCTGCGCGCTATCTCCAGCCTGGCTCTCTCCGCGGGGCTCGGCAGCGACTTGCATCTTCGCCTCTGTGTGGGGCTCTGCGGCGGCGGCTTCAGGAACGACTCGCGCCCCCGCGGCCTCTCGTCCACCACGCGTGTCTCCAACGGCTCGCACTCGCCGTTCACCATCTCCTCCTCCTCCTCGCCTTCGGCCTTCTCTCCGTCCCCGTCATCCATCTTCTGAGTCGTGGCCAAGCTGCCGAACAGACCGGCTATGCAGCTGTAATTTCTCGGGATGCAGTTTTTCGGAGGTAGCATGACCGCGGCAGGACAAACAGACTCGGCGTCCATAAACAAAACACAGTCCGGAGGAAAATGCACTGCCCAGTCGGAGAGGAGAGCCCGCTCAGGTGTCCGTGTCACTTCACTGCATGTTCCTGCCTCTGTGTGTCTGAGCCACTGCGGATTTCTGATCTAGCCCGCTCTTCTGTTTTTTTCCTCCCTTTTTCTCCTCCAGCAGCTGATGTTGCAGAAGCAGTGTACTAACGGTCATGGGGGACACACCCCCTTGGAACACCACTTAGGCTGCGACGACGTGCAGATCGGACCAAAATATTGCTGAAGAGCGCACGGGGATCCCTGCCTTTCATACCTGCAGCGCATCCCTCAAGGAGACGGGCTCGTGCCGGTAGTCACGTTAGCAGCAGGTGGCAGTAAAACCAGAACCGGATCCGTCTGAGCGCATCCGGAGTCTGTGCGGTTTCACGTTTTACCAAAAATAAACCTGCCAAACAGAACCAAGGTCACTTACAACTGAGACACTGGCCAACCTACAAGACAATTGTTTTAATAATAGCTGATATAACCTGATAATTAGGGGGTGCGAAAATAAAGATTAAATCAAGGAAGTACAATCAAGGAAGTGAAACAATAGCACAGAAGGAGATTGTAAGACGAAAGTCAGAGCTCTACTTTTAATAGTAATGCAGCGTATTTATCCTTCTCTGACTTCAAAAGATTACAGATTGAAAAAAAATAATGTAAACCAGCGATGTTCGACTCGTGAACGAATCGTTTCTTGAAACGATTCTTTTAGTGAATCAGTCGAACCGATTCACAGGTCCATTTGAATCGAACTTTTTTGTAGTATCCGCGCAGTATCTGTGTAGGCTGGCAGCTCGAACACTAATCTTTCAAAATCCAACCTCATTTACTTTGCTTGTCTGCATGTTCGTTCTGTAGACCAGGCCCTGATGCACACCTGGTGCTACTAATGAACTATTTAACAAGCCCTTACTGAGGTGAACTGAAGGTGAAGCAGTAGGGACAATACAACATGAAGGACACGATTGAGAATAACAGTATTTGTGAGTTGTAGTGGATATCAGACATACTCACTGAATCAGATGCCATTGTATACGTTTCTGTTTCTAATCCAGACATTCAGACTCGTAAATGATTCTGTTTCATTGCCTTTCCCATTAGATGTTTTTTCCCCATACCGTGTCTTATTTGGCTGACTTCATGGCCTCCCTTTGCCAGTCTGTTGCGAACCCCTCCAAAACTGCTGCTACTTAAATGACACACTATTGTATGTTTTCTACACAGTAAAAATTGTAACTTTGAAATTTAGTTCATGTGGTAACAAGCAAATTAATAATTTTATTCAACTCCAATAAATACTATGAATGAAATGCTGGTTCATTCAAATTTAATAAAACTAGTTTAGTTTCTTGTTTCCACATAAAGTATTTTTTAGGTTAAACTGACAAACCATTTTTACAGTGTATTTGTTTTGCACACATACACTATATGTTGTGTAAATTTGTATTAATTCTTTTTTTTGTTTGTTAATGAATGAGAATACGGTTGTCTTGACTTGTGAATCAATAAATAGTTCACTTCGATTCACGAACAGCTCTAAAGAATCGGTTCGATAAACTGAATACACTTGCAGTTCTGAGGCCCCGCCCCTCCTTCTTCTCTGAAACGTCACGCTCTAGCGCGCGTTGTTTCCCATGGGTTGCCGTAGCAACCGCGCGTTACACTCCCCGTGGAGAGCTTGTGTGAAACAACGAGATAAATATTTCAGCACTGCTGGCTCCTGTTAAACTACATGCAACGACCTCTGGCAGCAATACGAAGCTTTTGGGTTACGGAAGTTTAAAATGTCACTCTCGTGAACTTTAAAGGTGAGTGGGGTGGTGTGGTTTTTGTGAAAACTTTGCTACCGTAACAGCGCCTGTTAAACTAACAGCTAACGTTAACAGTTACTTCGTTTTCTACGAGATTTAGTCAGCTGTAATTAAGGTGCTGTTGTGTAGTGAAACCCAAGTGAAGAAGTTCCACGAGTGTTTTACAAACACGGCGCTCAAGATTTTGGTCCAGAAGTGAAGAGGAGAAACATTTCTACATTCTCGACGAGTTTTGGTCCAGCGACGACGATATCGTGTTGCGTTTAAAACTCATCTAGCTAATTATTATTCTGTGATATTTAGTATAGGAAATTAAACAACGATTCACACAGCGGTGCCAACATGTAGGTGAGCACACTGCTGTGTCCCACTTCTCTGTCTGTCTGTATCTCTCTCTCCCCCACCACTTTGTTTTGAAAAGGATTCTATTTAACTCCAAAAAGGGTTTTTCTGTTGTTACAACTTTGACAATGTAACAACAGCATAAGCCCCTTTGGTGTAATATAGAACTGTATACAGCACATTCTCCATCAATCTCAAGAACCATTTCCCATGCAAAGAAGCATTTAAGCATGCAAATGGTTCTTTGAGCATTATGGTTCTATATAGCACCATTGTCACTGATTTCTTTTTTTTACATTCCAATACCCAGTAATACCAAGGTAAGTATCCCCATACCACTGCTGATAGGGATATCCAAAACCAGAATCCAGTAAAGTAAGGTGTTATTATGTACATATAAAATGCTTTTGGTAATTTTATGTTTTCATTCTTCACAGATTTAATTCCATAGTAATATCTGCGTAATGAATAACCCCAAGTCATGTGAATCGGGATGTACTGATGATGACAAAAATGATTCTTTGGAAGACCTGGAGTGGAACGACTGCAAGTCTCCTGACAGGAAACATGTGAATGTGCTGCTGGACATCAGTGAGGAATACACCCTCAAAGAGCAGGATCCGTATGAGTCTCAGAGTCAAGGCTGGGAAGAGGCTGTGAGTAATCAGCTTGCTTCTTCAAACTTCCTCCTCAGAAGCGGCCTTAAAATGTGGTGGAGGCATTTGGCTAAGCTTTGAACTGAATTGCTTTATACAGTGGCAAACATTAAAGCTGGCAAGGAAACAAACCACTACTACAATAATGCTGATTTCTTGTAGCGCCCCTGTGCGATGGTAGTAGTATGTTAGTGCTAAGCTAATGGCAGTTCATATAAATATGGCTGTTCTACATTAAACGCAGATATTTGAAACTTGTAAAATACATTCCGTGTTTAACTTCAGGCTTGTAAATAACATGTAGGTGTGTATGTAGATGCTTGAAATAAGACTGGCATAAGATTTTGTGTAATTAATCCAATTACTTAAGTTGTTCAGTTAAAACTTGTGTACTGTATTTTGCATTGACAGATCAAAGGATGGGGTCGGTCTGCCCCACTTGCTTGCTTGTTTCAAGCACAGAGAAAAGGGAGAAAAGTCAAACCAGAAGTTATAGATTCCCATTGCCTTCTCTGTGCTGATCTGAAAGACCTGAAGCTCTCAGAGCTCCCTGACTGTGCTGGCACCTCCTCTGAATCATCCTGTGTGATTGCTGAGGAGTCTTTGAAGAGCACCATTCCTGCCTCCCTGGAGCTTCTAAAAAGAGCCCCCAGCAACAGTTCATCATCTTCCTCAGAAGAGGAATCATCTGATTTCAGTAAAGGTGAACAGTGCATACACAACAAACCTCTGCCTTACCACCTTCAGCCTAACGCTCAGTGCCCATTTCTGAAAGACAGAGGTGCAGGAAAGGTTGCACTCATTGGCAGCCTTCTTGTATTGCCCCCTGTAAAACCACCTACACCAGCAAATTCAAGGAGTTCCATTTTATTAAAGAGAAGAGAGGCTCGTGATATGTGTCCAGCAGAGGAGGAGATTAATTCAGTTGCTGTGTGTGGTACTACAGGACCAGTCACTGTTGGTGAGAAAGTGGGCACTGATGGAGACAGAGAGAAAGCAGTTGTCATCCCTTATTGCAGCTCAGCTGTAGACATCTGCCAAGGATCCCTTACCTCTAAGCACGAGCCAGGCCAGCACCAGTATCATCTGTTGTCCATCGCTGTCTCCAAGAAGGCTCATCTGCTACCTCAGGCCACATCCCTCCTGGGACGAAACCTCAGGCAGGATGAACTGACCAGATCACCTCTCAGACACAACTCTGGGCACAGACCATATTTGGGCTTCAAGGCTAAGAGTATGAAAAAGGCGGAGCCTGAGCTTCCAATGCTCTTAGGCACTAGAGTGGCAATACCAGTCTCTGCTCAGCGCTAACTGTAAATGTGTTGCATTACTGACCACTGTATGTTAAGATGACCTGATGTGGACTGAACTATTCATACAATGCAAAACACACTATTATATGTCATGATAAATGGGGAATACAGTGTCTTGAGCATTTATGCCCCAGAGCTTTTAAAAAGAGTATTTTGGAAATCATCAATAGTACGGTTGTAACAATGCCTTGTGACATCGTGATATCACGATGCAAAAAACGTGACTGTGTACATCACAGGGATTCAACAGTGCATTTTGAGAATGACCATTTAATTACTTATGCCATCTAATACAGTCCAATTGTTTGAACACCAGAGTTGGCAAAAAGTCAACACCAATTAACTACTGACTTCACTGTGTTTGTATGTCTCAATCCTCACACATCTCAGTTCTGGGGAAAAAAGTCATCATTCGTCCTCATTCAGATGGTTTAGGATATCATGAGAACAAATCTTGTATCACAATTCAACTGATTTATTAATGATATGATTAGCCAGGTCAGTATGTTTCATACTTACACCGCAAGGTACTTACATGAAACCTAGTGGCAGTGGTTTAATTCAGAGAGGTACATAGTAAATAAGATAGAATGTAGTGAACCCTGAGAATTTGGGCTGGAGTTCTGGGCAGTTTCTGTTTGGGCTAGAAGGTTAGACTCCCAGTTTTGATGAAAGGTGGTAAGACTGACAGGGAACTGAGTAACAGAAAGGACATCAATGTGAAACCTTTGTAATGGGAAACTGAAGGTAGAGATGGGAAATGTTATGTTGGTAGGAGGGGCTTCAGGCATGATCCTCCCCCAAAATTCAGTGATTTTATAACTCCATTTAATGTTAGCTGGGACACAGTCTCAGTCTCATCAGTAGAAGTTCCTTTAAAGTGTACAAATTATGTAAGAAATGGACAACAAAAGGTGGTTGAAAGCCTTGCTTTCAGTGTTCTGCGCACAGTGTTTGTAGTTTTAATGCCCATGACTGCCCAAGAGAGCTTTTCCAGTTACCCAGCAACTGAGCTGCCTACAAAGGCTGCTCACTGTCAGGGGGCCTCAGGCTGATGTGGAGCACACATGCCTTAGTAGTGAACTTCCAGCAACTGCAGATATTGTATAATCATGTCAATGTCATGAGGCATTTACAAATTCAAGCCTTGCAGAAACACTGTTTAGAACAATGTGTCACATTCCATTTGGAGCAGGTTACACTTTTTTAATAAAGGCAAAGTGCCCCTTTCATGGAGAGAGAATAGAGATATAAGCTGCTTACTAAATTGAAACCTAAAGGGAACAGCTTTCATATACAGTGTTATTACTGACTTTTTTAACTTCTAATGTTCACCAACTCATTCCTTTGCACTTTATTAAAAAATGAATACTGAATTTGTTACTAAGATAGCAAAGTTAAATACTTAATTTAAATAAAATTCTTATTCATAATTTTAAGTCTTCCTACCACTCCATACCCAATTACGTTTGAAGCAGTCACATTTATTACATGAAACTGCAGACATAAATTAGATACAGACAACCCACATGCAATTAACACTTTAATTCTCTCAATAGCACTTTATTTTGAGCATCTGCTGCAGCATAGCCTAAACAACAGAAGAACATAGTCAGGGTTAAATTGGTATGCCTTACCAAACCCTCAAGAATGCACATAACTTAAGACATATCAATATTAGGGATAAAAAAAAACAAAACAAAAACAAAACTGAAATTCAACTTAAGAGACATTCTTGGCACAAACAAGACTGCATGCACACTCTACTTAAAACCAGAGTGTAAGTTGACAATTTCAAGTAATCTATAGCAATACATTTTCTTATTCCTGCTAGCATTTTTGCTAAGTTCAAGAAATCTAGTATATTAAGTTGCTGGATTGGCAGATCTAAATGTTAAATACAATGGATAAATGCAAATGTCTCCATTGGCTGAGCATGGAAAAAACGTTTTGGTTACACTGCTGAGGAGCACTCGTCATACATGGGCACAGTGTCATTTACATTCTGCAGCTAGTAAAAGTCAAATTCAATGAATGATAGGGACACACTGGCCAAAAACTGGCAAAGCATACAAAATAACATATATAGAAATAAGTTGAGCCTAAAGCAGGCAACAATATTCCGTGCAATATGGTAAATAAATGAGAGAAATAAATACACTTATGGTTACACAATGTTAATATTGTCAATTAAAAAAAAAAATTAAAGCAGCGAGGCATTGTACCTTTACATCATCAAATGTATACATGGTCACTTTACTTAATACTTAAATTAAGGCACCAACAAAAACCTAAACATGGTTAAATTTTAAATGAACTATGCTTAAAGGTGACTAAGTACACATTCAGTGAAAAATGAAACATGCTTCCGATAAAATATTAAAGGTTTCATTTTACTGTAAACAATTGCGATTTGCATGTTAATTACTCACAGTACAGAATGCAAATCATAGTTCAAGAGCATTAAGTGAGCTCAACTGTTAAAGGAAACATAACATTTGCAACATGCATAAATATGCATTCATTAAGATATCCTGATTTGCAGATGTTTGAAACGTGATTCAATATTATATACTGTAACAGTCAATACAAAATATCTGCATGAACTTTAGTGAACCAAGAGCACAGTTTACTCACAGTGACAGTTTGCTGGGTCTAGACCATTAGACACTTAATGTAAAATCTGCACATACAGAAGACTAAGTAACAACTCAAGGCAAAAGAAAACAATGTGCACAAGGCGAAAAAGGGCCCCTACAGACCATATAAGCAATATCAAACGAGAAAATATGCCTATTTCACAAGATATCTGTTATCAAGATTGTAACAAATGTACGTCATTTCTATTCAGTAATTTCAGATTTGCGCCACATCGAAGAATTACCACGACTATTTAGTAGCACCATCAGACCATCTAAAATGTTACACACTCTCCTACTGAGAGGTTGATAACCGACTAATGAGAGTAAACAAAACGTTCATTAAGGACAATATAAATTAGAGTAGTACACTGATGTGCAAATAAAAAGTAATCACGCTGAAGTGCAGTCAACTAATGACGGCTAAATGATAAAGTGCAGCTAAAGTCTACTTTGAATAGCGCTTTAGATTTTGACCAACACACATTACTCATTGTGGAATGACTTGAGATGCTGAATAACTACAAGCAAGCTCAATTCTCACAAGCGCCACGTCCGCCAGACAGAGCTCTTTAGGTGATGAGTGTTTGGGAGAATTATCTGCTGACACTCAGCTTCTCTGAGAGGCAAGTCACCAGAAACAGCTTCTTCACAATGTAGCCTAAATCTCACCCGCCACAGGGGAGCTGCAAAAGCAGAGCGCTCAGCTGTTGGGTTTCTCCGATGGCTGAAACAGAGAGAAGAAGTCTTCGCTGGTTTGGGTTTCCACCGAGCTGAAATGGGACTCCATGTTCCAAGCAATGTCTGCAGACAGGAAATCATCCATGACCGTCTGAGTCTCATTGCTGGTTAGAAAAAGGTTGCCCAGACTGGAGGAGCTGGAGACTGTTTGGGTCTCGGTGCTGCTAAGCCTGACCTGACCTTCATGGGAACAAGACAATGGCAGAGGAAGAGGAGGCCTGGTGTCTGTCTGGGTCTCTGTGTCAGAAGACTCAGTGCTCATGTTAAAACTGGAATGTCTCAGGATGCTGCCGAGTGGCATATGGCCACCAGGATCAAGCAAGAAGTTAAGGTCTGTTTGGGTTTGAGTATCAAACATTTCTAGCTCCAGATCATTTGACTGCACCCTGGCGCCAACATCGCTTTGGTGGCTATCACCAAGGAGTAAGAAATCTGTTTGTGTCTCGATATCGAGGAGCTCTAGGGGAGTCTCTGAGCTTAGGCCTCCCAAAGCACTCTCATCAGTCTGAGTCTGAATATGGGTTGCGTTGAGGAAATCCTCAAAATCAAAGTCAATGCCAGTGTGTTGTTCTTGCACCGGAACCAGGCTTGACCCACAGCTTGGAGTTCCACTCGCCATGCTGTCAGAAAGGATGTTCTCAAGGTCACTCAAAAGAGTCATGGTCTGAGTCTGATTGTCAGCTACCGTGTTCTGGTGCAGAATGTCTCTCTGGGACCCAAAGCACAAGGACGGAGCAGTTCTGTCCTCAAAAAGCTCTGGCTCCGTGCTCATGGGATCAAGTCCATTTGTAGTGAAAGGTCCATCAGTTAGTGCGGTCTGTGTAGATACACTGAGCATATCAGTGTCAAAAAGGTCTGTGCACATTATAGCTTGGTCCATCTGGGTCCTATTCAACGGGGCTGCTGTGCTGCAGCTTGTTTGCGTTTCTCTTGTTATGTTAAAAGAGGGAAAGGGCAGCTGACTGAGCGTGTCAGTTTGTGCCCCAATGGAAGATGTAACTTTGGCCCTCAAGGGGAACGTCTGGGTTTGGACGCTGACAGGCAGCTGGATCTGAGCGCTCACGCTAATGTCAGTCTGAGAGCAAGAGGACACCGAGGCTTCACCTATGGGGGTGATCGTGACAGATCCCTTGCTGAGGTATGAGATATCAGTTTGAATGTTTGTTGAGGTGCTTTTATTTCTGGATCCCAAGTCATTAACTGGCTCACCTACTGAGACCAAACTCTCCAGATTAACTTGGATTCCTGTACTGATGGCGTCCAGGCTCGACCTGGAAGCAGGCATTGTTTCTTTAAAACTCACAGTTTTAGTGTTAAGAGCGGGCACCACTGCCCCAAGTGACTGAGGCAACAGGTGCACAGTGCTTACGGAGCCCTGTGCATCTACAGCCAAGACCACAGACCTCAAGGCACTGCTCTCTGCTGGAGGGAGAAGAACAGGCAAGTGTGCAAGCTGAATCACAGGAACGTTGACCAAAGCAACTTTGGGTTTGGGCAGGAGAAGCTTTTGAACGTTTTTAGTGTGGATGGGATTGTGTCGTGGTGAATCTGGAGTTTGGGAGGCTCCTTCAGTAGGGACTGCTCCTTCTGTTAGTTCCTTATCAGCATCTGCCATTTCATATGTTTGATCACTGGGCCTAACTTTCGTTGTGCTGCTTGACAGTCTCTCCATTTTCCTTTTCTTGACAGGTGGATATCTAGAACAAGTACATAAAATACATTAAACAAAGAGTGAGATGCAGGCTACCATGCTAATTAGGCTACAGTGTTGGAGTGCAATCAAAGCAACTGGAATAGTACATTTAAAATTGTTGTGCATTTATGGCTGTACAGACAGATGACAAATTGAAGAAAAAAACAAAAAAACAAAAAACAAAACAACAAGCATCTTAGTAAGGTGTTGGGCCATCATGAGGCACCACAACAGTTTCAGCGTGGCTTGGCAAAGGTTCTACAGGTCTCTGGAACTGTGCTAGAGGGATAAAACAACATTCTTCCAAAAGATATTCCCTCAACTGGTATTTTGATGATGGCGGAGTGTGCTGTTTGGTCCAAAATCCTTATATTTTTAACGGTCCTGAGATCCACAAATGAGTGTGGAGGCCTTAGCATATGATTTACATCATTTTCATACTCATCAAACCATTCAGTGACCCTTTGTGCCCTGTAGGCAGTGGCTTTGTCATCCTGGAGGAGACCACTCTCATCAGTTTAGAAAAGTTTCATTATAGGTTCAATGTGATCGGTAAAAAAAATTTAGTACCTATCTGCAGCAATTCATAACTCTAAGGAGAGATGCAGACCCAAACCATGCCAGCTAAACGCCCCCCCAGCAGCATATCAGACACACCAGACCGCTTCACTGTAGGGGTCAAGAATTCAGGACAGTACTGTTCTACTGGTGTATGCCTAATATGCACTCTCCCACTTGTGGAAAATATGGTGAAAGATGACTCACCATATCACTTTTTTCCCCCACCCATCTGTAGATCAGTGCTGTTTTTGCACCACTTAACTCTCAAACTGTGCATTCATCTTTGTAATGAGGAGTTTATGCACTGCAACCGTAATATAATTTGTCCTCTCTATGTAGTTGTGGACTGCCCGTTCTTGCTGTAACAGTACGATCGTATCCTGCACTGACATTCTCAGTAACCTGAGCACCAGTTTCTCTTCTGTTTTTTCACACAAACGCACAACACACAAGCATCAATCACTGAATGTGCAACTACAAACATAAGGTCTTTCCTGTGGATTTAAATGCAAATGTCACTTTAGTGTTCAGTCACTACTGAAACACTAGCCAGTTGAGCAGATCCTGCTGCCTGTACCCAAGTAAAGTCCCCAAAAGATCTTTCACTCTTGCCATCTTGATCCAAAATGGAACTTAACCAGGCCTGCTCAGCATTTTTATACAAGCCACAGAGCAAAACAGGATGCTGACTGCTTAATTTTATCATTAAGTACATTTTTCTCAAAGCGTCTATACTTGTTATGTTTCTCCTCTAATTTATTCAGATGTTTCCTGTAATTTGTCACCTGTATGTGTGTATGTACTAAAAAACCCACTAAGGCAAACAATTTTATGTGATCGACTACTACACATGAAATGTTTTAAACTATTAATAGAAAAACACAATAAAGGAATACACATACCTGTGCTCTTTGGGAACCTCGTGGCCTGTTCTATAGATGTGTGACAAGAGTGCTGCCCTACTTGCATATGGACATCCACATGTACAGCTGTATGTCCTTCCACAGTCTTCTATATGCCTCCTCAGGTCCCATTCTGTGCTGTACCCATTGCTGCATTTCACGCATTTGTGCTTCTTCTCTGCGTGCATCTTCATGAAATGCTAGCCCACATAAAACATCAACAAAACATTACTGCTTTATTTTGAGGCTCTGCCAGACACATAACAAAAGTTAGGTCATTAAGTTGACCATATACGTGTCGCTTTGGTCATGAGACATACAGAAAACACGTCACTTTAGTCTGATTACCTGCTTAACCAGGGCAAACTGAGAGAAGGGTCTGTTTGGTCCTCTTGGACAGCCCTCTATTGGACAGCAGTAGAGCTTCTGTGAACCTTTTATATCCTTCCTTACAGTAGGGTTGACCAGACCCTCCTAAAAAGAAAACACAGTTATAAGAAGCTAACCAACCTCAAGAGCTGCAAATACGTGGCCAAGAGGGAAGATCAGACACACCGTAACAAAGCATGAAGCAATAATTTTATTAGGGTCACTTCTCTGTAAAAAATGTTGGTGCTGTAGGCGACATGTGTCCGTGACTCAGCAACCAACCTACCCAGCAGCAACCAAGTATTAATGCGAGTATGTGGTGCTGCTCTCAAATGAACATGCTTATGTAAGTCACTTCAGAGGGCATCAGATGGTATCCATTCCCCACATCATACACTGTTATGGAGTAATCATGTCCCCCTAAATCATGATAAACTGAATAAAACAACATGGATGGCCCTCGAATCAAATCACAAATAATAACTGGGATTTTTAGACCAACAATTCTATGACAAGAAGCAACATCGGTCAGTTCTGTTTGTAGAGCTATGCATGCGTAAAAAAAAACAGAGGGCTGAATGCAGAGTCCCATGCTGAAACTGAACTGTGTGAAAAAGGCACTGCGCCAAGTAGCGCCGGTCTTACGTAACTGAAGCAGGTGTGCAGGTAATTAGCATAAGAATTCAGTAGTTCTGAACAGAGTAGTGAACATTTTGTGCAGCCACAACACATTATCTCTCTCTGGACAGTGGCATAATTGCTATTGCCAACTAAGTGTACAAACTCAGTGAGGACCATAATTATCCAACAGCATAAATTAACCTTTTGGAGAAAAAAAAAATCATTCAAACCATCAAAACTAACAAGTTATAGTTAAATATCTTGGACCCATGGGTTAACATTCAGGCAACGTCTGTGTCACATTAAGGGCAGGTCACTGGGAACTCAGCAGTTATTTTGCCATTTATTTGTCCCAAAGGAAACATGAAGTAGAAGACAGAAGTCTTCTTTTGTTTCTGTCAACCCACTTCTGCCAGGAGAAGAGGCATGCTGAGAGGACCAGAGAGGAGAGTGTAAACAGGAGAAACTGAGCTGGATATGCAGCAGTAGATAAACACCCTGAAGGAGAAAACTGCTTCAGAGCCACTATGGACACCAGGTTACAGAGTGCAACTTGTAAAAACTGCAACCATAGGCTCTCTGCATCAATAATCCTTGATGCATTAGCATCCACGCCTCTCCTATACTGTACTGCCGACCAGGGTTATGTTACTCATTCTGTCAGCCCCTCAAGCAAGGGTGAATATCCAAAGAGGTCTCCTCCAGCGCTGCTCCATCACCAGACTGACACTCTGCCCCACTCAACTGTCTCAAATAACCAGATTAGGCATGTTCATTGCCTCTTTGTTGTCTTGGACAGACTGATCTCCTTTCACACAAAGGCAAGAACACAGACAAACAAACAAACAGAGGTAATTTTAGAAGAACAGTCTACTGGAAAATCAAATTTACAAAAAAACTTTCCCTCCTTATGTCAAATGTTGTTGTTTGGCTTATATATATGGTGTCCAAAGTTTGCTTCTGTAGTTTTGCAGTGGTGCTACGAAGCCAATATAAAAATAATTTAGGTGACACAACACGCCTTGCGATGGACTGGTGACCTGTCCAGGGTGTTTCCTGCCTTCTGCCCAATGACTGCTGAGATAGGCTTCAGACAGCAAACACATCTTGGCCCATGAACTATCCTTGGCATAAGTAAAAATACATGCAAGTTGGATTTTTAAGTGAACCATTCATTTAACTTGGAGCAGAGGTTACCAATACTAGTCCTAGGACCCCATGCTCTGTACCTTTTTGGGTTTTCCTTACTGTAACACACTTGGCCAAGCAGATCAGGAGGTTGTTAGTTAGCAGATGAGTTTAATAAGGTGTGCTTAATGGGGGAAGGCACAAAAATGTGCAGAGTGTGGGGTCCTGAGCACTAGGATTGAGAACCATTTACTATAAAGCAGTGGATGAAGTTTAATGTGTATCACAGATCTGAAAGCAGCACCACATACATTTAAAAAGATGCATCAATCCATGTCAGAAGCATGTGAAGAGGCTGGATTTGTTTGTGTTGAACAATATTTATCCTGGCTAACACATCCAGAAGAGCTGGCTGCACATACAGGACAGCAGCAATGGCGATAGAGAAATACAATCCAACACAACTACGACCACTGCAGTGCAACGATTAGGCTGCAGCTGACTTTATCAAAGTGGTAGCAGAACAGAGGATTTAGTTTGTGGAGCTAGCATGCCCATCCAGCCAATATGCTTTTAGATCCTAGTGGCACACCGGCAAGCTGGACTGGTTATTGTTAATTCTTTCCATTCACTAGTAATCACAAACATCCATATAACATTAGCAAAATAAGATTAACTTTAACTGAACTGATGCAAGATGCGATGCTGTGTGGTCAGGTTGCCATGTATGGACACACATGCTAGTGTTCGCAATGCGGACCACACTGCCTGAAGATGACAACTAGCCTTGTGCTTAACACTTTATAACACAGCAAAAGACGCCACCAACGCTAAATTACTAAGTTGGAATATTCGAATATCAAAAAAACATTAGTAATTGTTTATAAAGCTAACTGTCAGTGATAAGGGCTGCTAGCTAGCTTATCCAACTCCCAAAAACAACAACACTGTTAAACGCAGCTAGCTAACTAGGAGACCGAAGTTGACATCATATTCGCCAGCCTCTTCCAATTTTGCCGTTCCACCTTAAATGTCACAGCAGTTACTCTCTGGCGCCTGAGGTGCCAAAATGTGACTGGCACAGCATTTAAGGTGGAACGGGAAAATACAAAGAAGCTGGCGAATAAGAAGCTGACTTCGGCTTCGTTAACAAACTGACTACTAAGTCCGTCATCAACACAGTCTGAAAATGACAAAAATGCGAGCCATATGCGGAGTACAGTACTCTCTGTAGCAGAATTAACGCTACATACAGTCATTGGTTTAGACCAGCTGAAAGGCTGACAGCTCGTTAGCTTAGCTAGCACTGTTACCTTCACTCTGTGCGACTTGACCAGATGCATGTTGAGAGCCGGAGTGTTGGGGAGGATTTTCCCACATCCTTCAACCGTACAGAGGATATTGGTCCGCACTTCTTTGGTGAGCTCTGTGATGGAGGGTTTAATGATCTCCCGGGGCTGACACGGGGGCTCCTCGTCGCATCTCTGGCTGCTGGGACGCGGACCTGACTCGTCCGCTGCGGGGGCGGCGGCCATGTTTCAGTGGAAAAGCGAGCAGCAGCCTTTAGCGCACCTTTTAAAGCGAGCACTTCCGGCAGCGCATAGCAACCACTACAGCCACCTACTGCGTCCTGGCAACAGCATTTAATATATTAATATTATAAAAATAAAGCGCACAAAAAACGTATTTTCAGATACTGTGATTATAACAGACGTTTCTTTATGGGTTATTCTCACGAACATTAAAATACTGGGAGTTCTCAAGGTCACAACAGTAATATTTAAAGATAAAGGTGCAAATATTTTTTTTTCAACTTTTCATAACCTGTGTACTGTTGTTAGACAACTTATTTTTAAAACGAACTGTTAAAACATATATTTTGCAAAAAATATTTTGCAATTTTATTTCATTACTGCAAGACAAGTTGATATCAAGTTCTTTTCTTTTTACTTGTGCCACATGACGTTTTTGCTTCACTTCCTTAGAGTTTACACAGAAAACAAGTCAAGGAATTCAACAGTTAAATATTATAAAATTATAAATGGATTATAAAATTAAGAAAAAAATATATTAGTAATGAGAAACAACAAAAATAATTTAACTGTTTCCTGTACCATATGAACTTCCAACAGATTTACTAAATTATATGAATGTTTATCCACTACATACAACAAAGTTCTGACTCACATAACATTATTCGAAAGGGGACAAAAAATGGGGGGTGATTTTTGTAATTTTTGCTCTTACCAGACAGATGTAATCCTCTTGTATGCCTCCTTCAAATCAAACCCTGATGATAATACCGTATACTAGGGTGAGTTTCATTTACACTGAGCACAGAGAGGTGATTCTCACTCCACTGGAGAACACGTTTCTTATGTTCGTCCAGAGAAACACAGGACAGTTCTACACATCTACAGATTAGTAGCAATGGATCATTTAATTCCCCACATTAAAGATCCAGAAACAGTAATCAAAATAACACACATTTTAACAAGGCACTGACCAAAACACTTTTCTTCGAAACATTTTCTGCATTGTACTCAAATTTCTGAATGGCAACATTTCTAAAAACATACTAAAATCTGTATTTTATTAACAGGGCACTTACAGGTTTGTGGTAACGTTCCTTAAACTTATTGCCCAATACAATTCACAGTAAACTGCCACTTTACTGACATCTACATCAGATGCACAGAAAACATTTTTAATTAAAATCTTTATTAAAAACTTTGTAAAAATGATAAACATGGCTGAACAGGGGTTAAACTGTAGAAAACACACAAGGACACATATATACACATACACCCAAGCAGACTTGAACCGCTCAAGCAAGCAAGAGTCCTCATTATCTGCTGCATCAAGCCTAGTGAGCAGGAGTCTGACTGGCAGCTCCTGGGACTTTGTCAGTGATCACAAAGCTGTTCCTCCCTTTCTGTGTGATGGAGGACAGCAAGGGAGTAACAGGACCTTCAGCCATGCCTGTCAAACAAGCAGAGAGGCATCAGAAAGTGGTCTCAGTAACATAACATTAGGTAGAAAGAAAATAAGTGAGATGTAGTAGACAGCTAGTTATTGGTCATGTCTGAGCACCAAGGACAGATCAAAGTCAGAAGGGATGCTTGCACTGCCACCATGTGGTGACAGACACCATTGCTATAAGACTGCAAAACAGCATTGTTGTTTCACAAGCTCCTGGTCAAAGAATAAAATTCTCTACATTTCAGTTATATGAGTGGCTGTTTTCCACTACTATTAGGAAGCTACGTACCTGCAGACACACAGTAACGGAAAGGACTCCAGGAGGTTGCTGCTGGAGAACATAACCACTCCTCTAAAGAGTTCATCTTTATCATTAAGAGTGTTATTGCTGTTGCCTCTGTATCTTGTTTCAAGCTGTGGGAGGGTTACAGAAAAGATCAACACCACATCAACACACTGAATTTAAAGAGACTGCCGTTCAAGTGTAATACTACTAATATTCAGTAAATATCACAACTAGTAAAGTCATCTGGCTTTGTACAGATATTAGCTAAAATAAAGAGATTAAACGTACATCGTGTATGCAGAACATTACTTTTACGTCTTCTTTTTTTAAGTTAACTTGAAATCAAAATTGACCGTTTTTGTTCCTTATTTGTTTATGCCCCTGGTCATATCAAGCATGATGCATCATATAATTATAGCATCATATAATCACTTAATCCCACCACCTGCACCCATCATCTAACAAAAACACAGCTTCCTGAGAGACATGTTTCACCTGGAGGTGCATCACAGTATGCAAAATGCCAACTTGAAGCAAACTGAACAGATGAAAGGTACAATCCCTAACTGACCTGGGCAGGAGGGTTTGAGTGTGTTGATTAATTCTTCTTTCTGCTGTTTTATGTGGATGGGAGTACCAATGCATTGAAAAAAGATGCTGTTATGGCAACAGTGCAGGCTGGAGATGACAGTGCATGCGTTTTCAGGGCACACATAAAGCCCCTTAATAAAAGTACAGCAACTTTGAATGTGACAAAAATATCTGAACATTGCTGCTAAACAGGCATATCCCTTCATGGAAAGAGTGTATCCACTCATTAATAGGGAAGCCAAAAAAACTCTTTGGCACAAAGTTAAGACTGTCTGGAAATGGTTCCATTAACATGATTCCAATTCCATTTCATTTCTGCATAATTAAGGTCACTTATTTAAATAAAGTCATTCAGAGAGGTTTGATGTGAAAAGATTCTAGAGAACTTACTGAGTCAGAATTGCTCACAGGGTGATTGAACCAGAAGCCTGAAAAAAGTAACATCACCAAAACCTTCCTCACCAAGTTATTACAAGAAATGGCTACAAATATGAACAGTAAATGGAAACAGCAACAACAGAGGAGCTTCAAGTTATGATTTAACTTTTCAACAGCATTTGCTTTCATGTGAGAATCACAGACAGCAATTCTGGCAAGCTAGTGTTTTTTTTTTTTTCTGATTCCAGTGACACCACATAACGATTCTGTGACAACTGCATTTGACCAATCAGTGGTTTATCAGTTCCATCACTTTTGGATCAATATGCTTGGTACCCCAACAAGAAGGGTAATCAAATTCAACAACACATACTCAGGCAACGTACAGAAACAGGATGAAAATATTGAAGAAAAAAAAAAAGTGTGCTCACAGTACTGTACCGCATTGCTCTGCCCGCTTGAAAAAGTCATTAAGCAAAACAGTACCCCACCCCAAAATAAGAATAAACAAATATATATAAATTTATATTTTATATATACATTTATATATATAGCACACTTTTATCATTATCACATCTAACCATCATCAACATTACATATAAAACACATGCAAGTTCACGGGTTGTTTTGGATAAATACAACAACTATATTTGCATTGTAGACGATGCGAGCCCTGTTTCCTTTCACCACTACTGTAAAGTAATACAAGTCAGAAAGCTTCTTTACAAATGCACCATTTCCATTTTAAACCACTCTGAATGACTCCGTTTACATGTCAATTGAATTCCCTTTTAAGCATAACACAGTGGCCTGCTCAATCACCAGATCTCAGTTCAACTGAACATTTCTGGAATTAAATGAACTGTGCACTCAGAGGACACGCTGACTACCATGCAACACAGCATAACTGTGAGAAGCACTGTATTCAGCACTGGTCAGCATTCCCGTGAAATGTTTTTAAATACTTTGTTAAGTCAATGTCCCTAATAAACTGAGTGTGTTCTTGGAGCTAAAGAAAGTAATTTTCATGATACATGGTATGCGTCACAATGTTTTGTATATGCACTGCACATTTCGTATCAAGTTGTGCCACACACCTTGTAAACAGCAGTTTCCAGCTTTGGCAGGATCCCGTCACCAAATGCCTCACATGCCATCTGATGTCTTCTTTCAGCATACTCAGCATGCTCTTTTTCTATATTGGGATCTAAATAGAAAAACAACAAACAAAGACACAATTTAACAGCATTACAACACAATAGTCAGTTAAGAAAAAGAAATGCCAATTATGCTCCTATTGGAACCATAGAGCTTTAGCATTAGAGAGAAAGATAAAAGAGAGTTCATACGTGAAGGAGGTGCATTTCTTTCTTTTAAAGTCCTTTCCTGATTTGTCGGGAACACCTGTGATTAAAAAAGGTAAAATGGTCAATTTAATAAGCAAAATTCACTTAATATAAAGGGAATGTGGCATTAATCTACCTTACCTGTTGATATTGTCTCATGACAAGATCCCTCATTGCAGTGAGGTTTCGAGAACTCAGCTGGGCTTCCTTTATGGACACGTGTCTGGTGGACAGAAGTAGAGCCTAGACAAGGGTCAAAAAAAATATCATACGTAATAATGACAGTCAAATTATTGCAAAAGTATAATGTAACAGCTTGTATAAAGTTCATGAAAATGCAACCTGATACAGGAAAGGCTTGTGCTTGGACATGAGATTAAGGACAAACACATAAGGAGTCTGTAGGTAATGCACAACGTAAGTTGGTTTGAGGTGGTTGGGTTTACTAAAGTTGTCTCCCCACGCAATACGAATCCAAACTGCACCATCCTCAAGCTTCTTTGTCCTAACAGATACCTGCAAAAACAAAAGATTCATGGATAAAACAAGAATATGTGCTGAGACACATCTAGGGAATATGACTTTCTACATCACATCATATTCTATGGTATGGTAAGTTAGTTATATATCCTAAAATTGAAAATTGATTGCTTCTCTCTAAACCATTTAAAGCTACTTATGGACAAAGTAAATTCTAAAAAACAAATTATATTGCTGCCATATCACCTACAAGATAGCCTACAAGAAAACTCTTAGATAGCAAATATTTCCAGTGCTCATTTCTTTGAATCTGAATGAATCTGTATTTTCTTATAGCAGCATGGGCTGCATTTCATTAAATGAAATGATTTTTGACAGCTGCATGGGCAGATCTGAACTGTTATGTCGTTTAATAAACTGTGAGTGAATAATGAATGGAACGGTATACACAAATATTAAAGATTCATTACATGTCGGACAACTTCCTCCAAGTGGGCCTTGAACTGCTCCCTAAACTGTGTGAAATTCACAGAAACTGCATCATCTGCAGTGAGAACAAGAGAACAAAACAGTTTCATTTTATTTGTCCATGTACCACACAATAGTCCTCCTGTAGAAAGCAGTGAAACTTATTTGCATGTAACAGACATAAACTTACCTTCTGCTTGAAAGAGCTGGTAGGCATGCCAGGTTCCTTGATTAGGGTTGTCTATGTAATCTAGTATTAAAAAGAAGAATGCAGATCAAAATGATTATCCGTTAGTAAAAGTATTTCATAGTCAGCTGAAATGCCATAGATATAAATGCATAGACTAACACAAAATAAAACAAGCAATTACACTTAGAAAAAGTAGCATTACTATTATTAGTGCTTCAGCAGGAGGTTCAACAACACCGGCAACCCTCACGCAACAATTATATTGCTTACTTCTGGTTATTGATCCAAATGTCAAGCTTGCCTAATAGAATATTTAAAGTAGTGATTGATCAAATTACACAATTATCACATCAATACCAAATTTCAATACCTAAGCAGTCAGTCTTAGCATCAGAGAACTGGTAAGCATGCCTGTTGAAAACTCTAGACTGGTCATTGGCTGTCTAAACTACATGCTGTAAGCATGTTATTAACATCAGCAGTGCGTTGAACAAAAACAAAATAATTTAAATTGAGATCTGTACAAAAATGAACGTTAATTCTATTTCTTTTTACTATAAAATAGACTTTTAGTACAGATAATATATAATGCTGTATGCAAAACATTTGTAACATCCATTATATTTAAAAGAAATTATATCGAAAAAAATTGTTCAGGAATCAAAAAACTGTAGAGCCGTGGAGGTCAGGGACATTTCTACTGGACACTTCTCACTAAAGCTACCAAGACTGCGAAATCCCGTTTTGTGAAATACTCTTCAGGTTAGTAACATTGAACATTAGAAGCATTAGGATAAAGAAAACTCACTCACAGACCATCTCCAGTTTTGTTACATCTTTTAAACTCAGTCTGTTGTCCTGAGGGAGGAAAAAAGTCAGCAACATTTCAGGCATAATTTATTCCTCGTTCAGTGAGTTTATGTAACGTTAAGCTAACGTGCTAATTAGCTAGCTAACAATGTAAACTCACTGCCTCAATAAGTTACATGTTATACTAGCAGTAGTAACACGGCTATGTTTAGGTGTTATTTAGCTGTTATTTTTATAGTTATAGCTGGAGTAGCTAACCTACCTACCTCGCAACTGGATATTAAGTTTTCCAGAAACAGCCATTTGGGCTGGGCATAATCCAGAGACTCCAGCTGCTCGCTCGACAGACGATCCCAAGCTCTCAGAGTAGTCTGTAACTTTTTGTTGGGTATTTTTCGTATGATCCGTTGTAAAATGGCCCTCGGTTGTTCATCCATTTTAGGAATAAATTAGATGTTCTTCTTACAAAGAACTAAAATGATAAAGGATACCGCATAAAAATGTACATCGCATCGGTTAAAACAACAACTACATCGCAGGGACGAAAGCGGAATCAAAATAAACCGCCAAGAATTGTAAAGTGTTTCGTAAAAGCCTTCTTTCCGGCTGATGCAGAATCAGCTCAGTGAGTCCAAAAGCCGATTCAAACTGTTTAAGCCAGAAACAGAAAACTGGTCTCAGATCAGCGGTGAAACACCGTTCAAACCACAGTGATACGTCACAACACGCACTATCCGGTTTCAAAATGTGTCAAAATAAAAGTTGCCGGAACTTTTAAAAAGCACTATGATTAAATAATGAGGAATAAAGAACAGTCACGCTCGTAAATAATAAATAATAATCGAGAAATAACGTTGTGAATATTCATAATTTCCTTATGAAATAATTAATATAATCTTAATATTATTTGTTTTATTTAATTTTTGTTTAAGGCTGGTTGATGGTGCTGCCATCTGCTGGCTGAAAGGTCGGTCGACTCACCTTTGCTATGGTCGAGCGACAGTTTAAGAGCTAGGTTAGTGTGGTAGCGACGTGACAACATTTTAAGCAGCATTTATCCTGATTTTATCATTGTCAGCTGAAGAACATCAGGTCTGAATTTAACATTTCTTTCATTGGACAGCTAACGACCAGCTAACCATTCACTGGCATGAATGTCGAGCATAACATCAGTGCATGCCCAGCAGGCTATGTGTAAAGTTTTTATTATAAATATTGTATCACACAAGAGTTTTTGATTGTTGTACAGGTACAGAATGATTATGGCAGTTTAGGAGTATATCGATATGTGCCTTAGCTAATCCAGTGGTTATAATCCAGTGGATCTAACTACTCGAGGTCAATCAAAACGGTAACCTCAAGCTTTGTCCTTTTGCTAGCAGGTCATTCTGCGATGTAACTTATAATGAATTTAGGGTGATTATGAATTTCGTAATGTTGTTAGTTTTCAGTAATGAACACCACGAATATGTGTGATGGACTGTGCTCTTTGATCACGTGTGGTTGCCATTGTGATGATCGGGCTGAACTCCATTGAACTGATCTTTTCTAGGTTCAGCCAGAGTAGTCCATCTTTGTTTAAACTCAGGTGAAAAACTCTTTGAGCAGGTTAACTCTTAAGCAGAGGCTTTGTGCTCTGTTGTCACGTGTAAAGCAAGAGCAGAACTATTACCTGAATGCTTTGTTTTTCCTTTACTTAGGTAAGAAAGGAAGACACCAGCATGAGTGATGGGATGGGATGGGGAGGCTGTAGTATCCTTTAGTGTGAGATACACTATATGTTCAAAAGTTTCAAGACACCTCTTCTAATTATGTATTCAGCTACTTTAAGGTCATCCGTTGCTATATAATCTCCATAGAGAAGCAGTGCCAATAGAAAGGGATGCTCTGGAGCAGCCACACATGAACCTACGGTCAACATTGCCATTTGCCAGCTAGAAGGGTGTAAAGCCCCCCTGTATTGGGCTGTGGAGCAGTGGAACTGTTTTGTCTGGAGTGGAGCACCATCGAATATCTTGGGAATAAGTTGGAGTGCAGTTCGTAATCCAGAACTATCCAGTACACCAGTACCTGACCCCACCAATGCTCTTATCAAATCCAGTCTAATACTCTTACCGAATTCAATCAAATCCTCACAGCAATGTTCCAAGATCTAGTGTAAAGCCTTTTCAGAAGAGTACAGGCTGTTACTGCAGCAGAGTAATACTTGTTAACATAGGATAAGCAGGTGTCTATAAACTTTTGGACATGTAGTGTACATTATGAATGAAAGCACTGAAAACAGTATGCAAAAGTTAAAACACTTCTTAATTAATGTAATTATATATACACACACTTACACCACATAACATTTTGACCACCTCTTTGTTTCTGCACTCATTGTCCATTTTATTAGCTCCACTTACTATATAGGTGCACTTTGTAGTTCTACGATTACAGACTGTAATCCATCTGTTTCTCTGCAAACTTTGTTAGCCCCCTTTACCCTGTTCTTCAGTGGTCAGGACCAGCAGCACTGCTGTGTCTGATCCATTCGCACCAACACAACACACACTAACACACCATCACCATGTCAGTGTTACTGCAGTGCTGAGAATGATCCACCACCCAAATAGTACCTGCTCTGTGAGGGTCCATGGAGGTCCTGACCACTGAAGAACAGGGGGAAAAGGGGGCTAACAATGTATGCAGAGAAACAGATGGACTACAGTCTTTTGCACAGGCCACATGTTTGTTTGTTTTTTTCCCAGTATGTTAAATTCAGTAAGTAAACAGTAATTGTGCATTAAAATGTTCTCCATATACTTATTTTCATAAGGGAAATTAACAAAATGTGTAATTTGACCTTCCAAACCTTTGCCTACAACTGCAGCTTAGTGTTAATTATTCAACATAACAAAAAAATATATGCTAGTTTTCAAGTACTTTGCTATTTGACTTCCTTCTATACATGTGTGGATCATTTTTATTGCAGTACACTTCTCACTGGTAACAATATTGATACCTAAATGATCTTAAATATTTCAGTTATTCTATTGTGCTTGATGAAACTTCAGAGGATTTGGGGCTGACTGTGCTATGTGAGTAGATAACTGTAACAAGAAGAACAGTATGGACAGTAAAAGTGTTGTCGTGTGTATTTGCAGTTTAAGAAGCCTTAACTCAGGATGCACCCAGATCTGTCGGCCCATTTACATACTGATGAATGCAATGAACTGATAGCTCTACTCAAACAGTGCCATAAGGAGGTAAGAGAACACTCAGCATTGTTTGTCTTTACTCTGCCTACATTTTCCTCCACATTTGTCAGATACATTTACTCATTCTAAATCTCTTAAAATATGTCCCTTATCTGTCTTACTGACCAAATGAGGGCGTTATATAAGTTATATTATGAATTTTATCTTCAGCACAACGTCCTCAAGTTCTTCGGGACGTGTAATGATGCGGATCGTCTGATGCGGGAGTGTCTCAAGAAGGAGGTGAGACACAATTTCTCAGTTCTCACACTAGAACTACACAGACCTTTATAAATGACCTTAGATGATGTCCAGCCATTGTCACTGTTGCTGCTTAGTCTTTTCTGACACTTTCTGGTGTCTTTTTTTGAACTTAGTTAAAATTGTGTTGTTCTTTTATCCTTTTTGTAAGGTGACTTTAAGCTCATCAGAATGTGTACACCCTCTCTCAGTTTCAAAGCCATGTAGAGAAATGGACTGTAGTATTTTTTGTTAGGATTTTTTTTACATAATACTAATTTGTAAAGCAGGTACAGCAGGTACTTAGTTTAAAGCCCCATGAAGAGATCACTCTCCATTAGTAGATGATGACTTGGTCAATTAAAATGAGTAAATTAATGCATAAATGATTATTTACAGTACTGTGCAGTAGTCAGAGACTAGCTTTGCTGTATTTAATTTCCAGTCAAAATGGCCATAAAGTTATTCACGAGTCATTCATTTTGCAGCATCAGAGAAAAAAGGCAAAAAAACATACTTAACAGAACATTACATAGACACCTCAGCAACTAAATGTAATATTACAATTTTCACTATTTAATTCTTCTATTTCTTCACTATTTAATTTAATTCTTAATTATTCACTCTTTGCCTTTATTATATCCTTTTCAGAAGACTTACTTTCACTTTTTCATATAAATCTGCAGGGATATTTTTTTTAACACCTCCACAGTTTAGTCTTTGAAACCTTGCTCCAGATCTCAGATGTCCTGCTCTCATGTTCTAGTGCAACTTTGTTCTTTTTTGTCTATTTCCTTTTCTTAGTAAGGGCTTCTTGACAGGTACACATCCTTTCAGGCCCATAGTGTTGACTCATCTACTCACAGTGGAAGGCTAGACAGAAACATCTTCAGATCTTTTTCAGATCTGAAGCAAGAGTGGAGGTTGATTTCCTCCTCTCTCTCAAAGATGAAAGAATTCCATAGATTTTTCAAAAGTTCTGTATAATTCCATCTTTAAGATGTAAACAAAGTCATTTAGAGTGTTTTGTTGTGAAATGGTTCATTGTAGAGAAACTTATTGACTCAGACTTCATTACAGTGGTGGTGATAGGAACCAGGGTTTGTTATGTCTACAGTAGCCATTTTACGTACTATCCACAATGTAATATTGGTAGTATAGTGGTACATCTTAAAATAAGCAGGTACCCATCCACCCTGAATAGATCTTAAAAAAATACAGTTTAGGCCTAATGCTTTTCTCAAAACTACTGTAAAACAATATCTCTGACATCAGGCAGAAAATTTGTGACCATTTCCATGTAAAAACCTTCTGCAATGTATCTTTTAGAGGCATTAAATGTTTAGACTTCTCGTTGCTGTCACCATTGTCAATAATTCTGACTGAGTAAGTTTCTTTAGAACGATACATTTTACATCAAACCACTCTGACTGACTTTGTTATTATCTTAAAGATTGAATTATGCAGGAATTTTGAAAAACCAGTGGAATTTCCCTTTAAGGAATGCTTATCTGATGGTGACAGTTTTGGTTGTCTACCAGGTACAGTTGTTGTGGTGGGGTGGGGTGGGGTTTATATGTTCTTTATATATTTTTGTAGTCCAGTTGTGGAAATTCTTGTTTTTCAGCTTGGGGCCCTTTTACAACTACCTCAGGTTTGCACTAAATAAATGAACCCTGCTCCCCAAAAAAAACACAAAGTATGTGTTCCTACAGGCTAGACCAACTCCACATGGGAGGGATTTAACTCTAAACAGACTGGTCTTAACTCCAGATGTATTTAATGCTCTGTTAAATGCTTTTACTCTGTTAAATGCTTTGTTAATGGTCTAATACAAATATATGTAAGTAGTAGGGTTTCTCAATGTGAATGTAACCAATCATAAAGAAGCAGATATTGAGTAAGTTTTACTGCTATTGCTTTGACTATGATACAAGGACGTTAAGAGTGTATTTTCATGCAAAATAGGCTCATTTTGGCTCAAATGGTGGCAAATGTGAGAGTAACAGAGCACTTGAACCCCTTTGAAAAATGAAGAACTTGTACTTAATGGCTGTTTTGACTGGAAATGAAATACATGAAGGGTGTTCTCTGACTTTTGCACAGTACCCTACATCTGAGAACATTGCCTTTGTAGCCCGTTCTGAAAGCCGGTCTAACTTTGTTTGCTTCTCTTTGTTCATCTATGCAGTATGCGGCAAAGAGGGAGCGGAGTAAGGCTCATGCGGCTGAGATGAGACAGCGCTTGAAGGAAGGACCTAAAGTTTAACCCTAAACTGAAAACACCTTCCCAGAACTGCAGGCTGAGCTAGAATATGAGTGGACATCTATGCTGTGCAGGATGTAGTGATGGGTTGCTGGATGTAATGATTATGGACCCTGGAGTAATTTATAGAGAAGAAGCACTTTCAGTACAGTGTATTGAAACAGAGATGATGCTGGAGATTTTATTAGGATTGTCTTGCAACTAATTATACCAATAATAATCTCAGAAATTACTCTGTGTGGAGTGTGTATGCTGTGTGTGAATGCTTGTGACAAATGTTGTACACTTTTCCTGTATTGTGTTTTAAGTAATGATCATCCAAAATCAAAATGGACATGTATGCTTAAAATAATAATGAAGCGAAGTTACACCTTGCTGAACAGGGAAGGATTAAGTGATACAAATACATGAGGAATCCAAGAACTGCATTAATTATCATTTATTAGATACTGCTCACCCATCCCACAGAATGAAGACAGAGTATCCTACTGACACAGAGGAAATACGACTTCTAAGGCACCCAGAAATATTCAGAAACTAGACTGAGGAATGGGAACGTTATGCTTCTGCAGTGTAGATGCAGCGGGACTGAATCAAATACATATCACTGTCCAAAAAAAACATGCATCTCCTAAATAGTAACTTTACAGGAGAAGCCAAAAACCCTCTTAACTTGTAATGTCAAGAGATTTTATTCCAATTGATTTTGGAATAAATATTTTCATAAAGTTAAGGGCAGCTGCTAAATTCGAATGATGTAGAAAAAAAAAAAAAAGGAAATACATGGGTTTTTTTGGACAGTAACAATATACACTCTAGGATGAGGAGGAAAATTTTTTTTTAAAAATTTGGCTGTTAATGATATTAAAGTGATAGAAAACCAAATGAATATAGGTTACAGCCGAGTACATGAATACGTTTTTAACAATGGAGCAACAGCAAATATACATTTTCAAATGATTTTCCATTGTTACAAAGGGAAGTTTCTTCCCCTCTGTGCATAAAACCCAGTTGTTTTGCACAGTTCCATCATGCCTAAATAAAAAAGTAATGTCACAATCATAAATTATAGTATTACAGATTATAGTATTGTAACCACAATGTAAATAATTTTGCTATTTAATATATGCACAATGCAATTTGCTCTGAAAACACAAAGTTGGCTCTTAAAAGCAAAGAGTATTGATAAGTTACGACAAAACTCATAAGTAGTTTACTACAGCCAAATCTTCCTTAATTATCACAGCTTTAAAAAGCACTCAAATCAAATCAACTACTTAATAAAAGGTAGCCACACACACAAAAAACAAAACAAAAAACTTACACTGATATTTGCCTAACTATGCATGTGTATTGCATACTGGGACTGGGCAGTTAGGTACATTATCCCACATATAATCTGGATGCCACAACACCCATCTGAATCACTGAAAAGAGGAAGAACAGCAGGGAACCACAGGAGGACGAGTATTAATATGTAATGGCACTGTTGATCCACAGGATTGACTGCGAGATATTTTGTGTCATTCTCAATAAATAAAAAAACAAACTGTGCAAGATTTCTAACATTACTTACTATGGCAATACAAAAAAACAAAAACATACCCTCAAATATGAAGATCTGACGAGCAACATTTATCTACAATAATATACATGCATAATCACACGAGATAACAGCATGTTACACATTTAACTCTGCTTTTGTACAGCTGCTGAATATATGTCTTAATATATTCTTAATTTGTACAAAACAATTATCTTAATTATCCTACAACTGTAAGTATATAAACCAGTATATTCATATATATGTGTATTTATCCTGAAAACATCACATGCAGAGATACGTCCACATCTGCATTATTTCCACAACACCAACAGCCTAACTGACAAAAAAGTGCAGAGACTGAAGATTACTTTGGAACAGAAACAAAAATGTTTCATTAAATTCTTTACAAAAATACACAACAAATTGTGACATTTCATTAAAATAATCCTCTGACGTCTTAAAATATATTCACAAATTCAACACATATACCTTTGCATCTATGTGTTTTCTTTTTTGTTTTTTTTTCTGTCATACCACAGGATCGACATATCCACTAATTTTTCTTGAGGGAAACTGATAGGCAGTCAATCTAGATTCTGCCTCAGTGCTCAGTTAACCTGAAACTGTCACAGCGATGGTGAGTCCTTCAAGTTCTTCACCACATCCGGCTTCTTGATGGCTTCCTTCTTACCAAAAAAGCACAAAACATACAGCAGTGCTTCTCCTGATTTTATATAGACTTCATTCAAAGAAAGGAATAAAATAAAAATTAGGTTCATTCATAATTTCCTGATAGCCTCAGATGAGCAGAGTGGAATATTCTGAAACAAACAAATTAAAACTCCTGATATTTTTCCTTCCAAGGCTACGATGATTTTTGACAGGGCTAGGAAGAATATCGTTTTGTATACGGGTTATTGCTGGTTAAATCTGTTTAAACCTAACCATCTGTTTCATTTGAGATATTGATGAATAAAGCTTGTGAAACATCTCACAGAAGTCATATATCTATTGCATGCAATAAGTAATTATAACACTGCTACAGCTCATGTCAAGGACATAAACAAATATGCACACTGTGTAGAACCAAAGACTAAAAGCAGCACACATGAATGCACAGTCATTGTCTCAGTTTCAAAGACTGACCAGTCTACGTCACAATCTAACGTCACTTCATTTTGAATTGAGATCTCCTTCCGTTGGTGATGTGTTGCTATCATATCAGGTAAATAAAGCAAAAATCTCCTTATATTTGGATTTGCATAGACTTATGAATCATAGGTGAATAATGTATGAGACAACTTTACAAGCTCTCAGTCCTTCATATAACTAGTTTTGTGTAACACTTTACAGCTATATAACATTGACGTAATCATGCCACAGACATGTCATAGCAGGTGTTACATGCTGTCATAAGACTGATTTTGTTCAGTAATAAAATCGTTTTCATTAATGTTTCATGTTTGTTGGCGGCTTGTAATCCTTAGGCTTATTTTTTGTGTATGCTAGTCACAACATTGAGTCTGTTTACACCTTGCATTATCATATGGTTCATATCTGGATAAACTTTTTGCTGGATTTCATTTATACTTTATATCCAATTTTTTTCTGCGTAAAAAGGATGTCAACACACATAATTTCCATTTACTTTTGTTTACTCTTTTCCTTGTTATAAGTTTACAAGATTGGCTAAGGCCTTTTTATCATTCTGGAGTGCATGAATGGGTTACCTTCAGCCTCCATATCCTCCATCTTTCATTTCATAGTTTATTCTCTCATCTACTAGTCAGCACACAGCAGACGCGTTTCAGCTCACATAACTGTATATGGATGACAAAACGCATTTCATGTACACTTGTGTTAATGTGGTTCAAATGATCCAAGCATAATCCACTCACAATGCTTCCTGGGGGTATTCATATCTGGCTTTCGTGCAGTCAAGTGAAATCCAAATGTGATCACCAAATACACATCAATGCAAGGTGTAAACAGGCCCATTTTGACATATGTCTGGACAGTTAACAATAATCGTAACATGACACTCTTATATCACTGGGCATAATCTATCATGACAACCCATGCCAGCATACAACATCTGCCAAGACATGTTTATGGCATGGATATGTTAATACTATGCAGCAAAGTTCAAGTGTTACCATTTCCTTATGAGTGCCTACTTTAAAAACAAAAAAACAACAATCCGTGACAAAAGGATTAGTCGTCACATTCAGTGTTGAAGACAGTGAGGGTACTTGAACATGCAGCAATCTGTAGCATCTAATAATATCAATTCATGGCAACTTTTATAAAATGCATGACTGTAACGTCTGAGCCACTACAGTCCATATAAACTTTGTTGCAAACCCATCACTATTGCACTCAACTGATGCCATGCCATATATCACATGGACAGTGGTATGACAGGAATGTGTTTAAAAGTAAAAAGATCAGTATCAATAACGTTACCTTTGGTATGAAAATCACCCCTTCAGAGATGAGAGCAAACAAACAAACAAAAACAAAAAAAAAGCAAAACACGTCACAATGAAACAAACTATCTACAACGTTACATATAATTATTCAATTATTTGTTTTTTCACCTTTCAAAATGGCTTGATTTCGAATAAATAAAAAAATGAAAACATTAAAGGCATTTCATTATTTGATAGAATCTTCAGTGTATAGAATGCTGGTGAGCATCACCACAAAACTGAATCCCTCTGATAGCAGGGATTAGTAGTAATAGGAAAAAAAAATCATTGTATTCTTGGCTTAGTTTTAATTTCATTCAAAGGATATGACATCATTATCTGCTCTAGGTGGATGTGCCCAAACATGCTGATCGATTCAGAAGGGGGTGAAGCTTCATGCCAAGGCAGCTGAGGATCTTAGGTCTTGTGGACACATTTCTCTCAGACTGGTGGTTTGAAGGTCTATGACCCGCAGGAGACTGGAGGGCTGAAAATTAGGCATCGTAACCCTTATTCTGAAGATAGTTGAAAAGCGCTTCTAATCCTTTGGTGGAGCACCACAGTTGTTTGAGCATCTGGCATTCCTTCTCATTCACCTCCTCCAGGACAGACTTCAGGATGCTGCGCACCATGCATTTAGACTCTTCCAGAACCTGTATGAGGAAAGTGAGAAGATGCTACCTGTTACCAGAACAGTGGAAATAAGGTTATAACCATACAACAACACTACTTATTAGTCAAATAAAAACAGGATATAAAAACTTAATAAATCACACAAAAGGGGGGAATACCAATAAAATGAAGAGATAGGGATAAAAACATTTTTCAAAAATGATGAAACAAAAAATATGAGGTAAAAAGATGAACATCTTATGGAAGAGAGTTCCATAGCTTTGGAGCTTTGGTATTCAATCTCACACCTTTATTACGATCGGCTGCCTATTCTGAACAGTTCTCATGACACTCAGGAAAATGGCACTTTGGGGTGTAAAGTGTTATGAGTGAATATAAAATAAATCACAACCTTTCAAAAATAACTTATGGATTTTTTTGCACAACATATTCATCTGTAAGATGTCAAACTCACTTCAAGGGCGCAGAAATGGGTTTCTTTCACTGCTCAATGTGATCTGTTGATTTATTTATCATGTTCCTTGTACTTACTTTTACGTCACCATGGATGTAACCTTGATAGTAACTTTTATGCTATAGTAAGGGGCGGGGCACAAACTAACGTGGGGTAAAATCTAACTAGAAAGTAGATTTAGAAAGTAGATTTTAAGTAGAATGTGATTATAGTCATGATCTTGTATTATCATTGTTACATCGCCTCCAAATTCTGACAGCAATCAAATGAATGTTTAGCAAGATTCACCTTGGAGATCTTGTTGTAACATTTTTTTTTTTATTGTAGGCATTTTCTGATTTCTCAGCTGTGTTTATAAGCCAGAGAATTCACACCTATATTATTTCAATCATCCTCTTGGTGGTTGTAATGTAGCACTGTTTTAAAGCACATAATCAACTTATAGTGAGAGCTAATCAGGCTAAAGTACATCCTCCACACAGCAGAGTTAGTTTTAACACAGTGTTACAACTAAACTACCCAAAGTGATCAATGAGAGAAGGCCATACTCCCCATTACAAATTCAAATCACTTCAATTTTGGAACATTTTATTTCAGGAATCATCAATAATATACAATAGATATAATGCAAATGTAAATATATTTTATTATAATATGCTGATATTAGCTGTTTTCCTTTGTGGTCAAATATAAATTTGACCAGTATTTGACACCCTCTTTTTTGATGCATTTATTTGTATGTATTTAGGTTGGAAGCTTGTCTTATTCAAACAACACAGAATTATATTGAATTAACTGTGTTTACACCAACTTGCCAGGCTTTCTAGTGTATTTTACTATTACAGGTTATGGCTAAGCTGTACAGCTGTACTATATTCACGCCACTTTTTAGCTTGTCAGCATTAGAATTGATTACAAATCATAGTGCTCAAAACAAAATTAAAATTTTAATTATCATTTGCAGTACATGTAGGCTGCTCAAATTTCATAACATTTTCTGATTATCTCACCAAAACAAAAGGGACACAATGTACAGTCGTATGCAAACATTTGAACACCTGGTCAAATTTTGTTTTGTTGATTTTCTCGGTGAAAATGTTAACACATCCTTTACATAGAACACACTTAAATATGGCATTTTCTGCTAATTTTAGTGCTAACAAATTTCTGTTTATTTACTGAGTTCAACATTTTGGAAGAATTATTCATGGTTGCAAATTAAGTTCATTACAGTAGTAAAAATAGTTTTATTTGCCTAAAAACTTTGCTGTTATGGGTTTAAACATGCACATGATTAACTAATTAAGAGTGGAAAGCAAAAAAATCACTGAGTGGTCATGAGAGTGTATTCAGATTTAGCATATTGATGATAGATTCACCTCATAAATCATGACACACTGTTCTCCCCTACATGAAAGTACATAAGCTGCTTTTATAAGTAAAACGTATCGGTATTGGCGATACTGGTCCTATATTTATTTGGTACTGGATCAATACCAAATTTTGCAGTATCGTACACCACTAGTTATAATGTGTTCTCTGTAGAGGATGTGTTAACTTAACTTCACTAGGAAAATTTGACCAGGGGCACCCAAACCTTTGAATATGCATACCTGTACAGAAGGTGGCTTTACATACTTGTTTTAAACTTTTTTGAAGCCTGTAATAAGTTAGTGCTGAGCAGGTTTGAGAAGTCTTACCACAGCACTGCAGGCAGCCATCTCCTTCACTCGTAACATCACTTCCTGGTTGAAGGTGGTTGGCCAGAACACTTGAGAGACCAACCCACGACTACATGCCTCTTGTGCGGTCAGTTTCCTACCACAGAACAGCATCTCATTGGCCTAAAGAGAGACGAAGGAAGAAATCACTGACCTTTGCAAAAGTACTTTTTATTTTGTATGTATTTATTTATGTATGTACACCAACCGGCCACTTCAATAAGTACACCTCTCTTGTTTCTACACTCATTAAATGTGTTCACATGCACTTAATAATCCGATAACTGCAGAAAATCAGATTTTGTCAGTAATATTATCAACGCGTTTACATGCACTTGAGTAATCAGATAATGGAAAACTAAGGGTCTACATGAGTCAGACAGTAATTGGATTTCCGCATTGCAATGAGCCAATAAACTCACAGAAG